GGTGGGGCCGTGCCCGGAGGGTTCCACAGGGGCTTTTGGGGGAGGGCGTTTTCCAGAGAGCCCCCCCAGGGGCCTCGGCACCTCGTCAACACAGCTCGCCATCGCTCGGACGTCCATTCCCCGTTCATTTTTCGACCTCGTGCGTGTTTGCCTTGCTCGATGATCCAGCATGCTCCTCCATGGTCCCCGCCGAGCAAAGTCGCACACGTCCGAGGGATGCCAACACAGGGGGTGCGAAACCCCTGGTTGGGCGCCCGAGTTATCCGGGGTAACTCGGGTCCGGGGTAAGTCGGGTTCGGATTCCCGAAAAAGGAACCCGAGTTAGCCCTGACCCGAATTACCCCTGATGATGTGGGGTTCTGGACGCCCGAATTATCCGGGGTAACTCGGGTCCGGGGTAAGTCGGGTTCGGATTCCCGAAAAACGAACCCGAGTTAGCCCTGACCCGAGTTACCCCTGATGATTCGGGGCTCTGACCTGGGGGGCCCCATCCTGGAGAGCCCCCCCCCTCCCCCCCAAACAGAAACCCTTCGGAGCCCCCCGCCCTGCCGGCCGGGCGAGAGGCGGGCGGCCGGCGGCGCGGCACGTGTTCTCCACGACGTACTCCTTCTCGTCGGGCAGCGGCACGCCGGCGGGCGTGGGCAGGCCGGCGGGCACGAGCGGCGGCGCCTCGGGCGCGCCAGGCGCCGCCGAGCGTCGAGCGCGGAGCGTCGTCGCCGTCGTCGTTCCAGCCGCGGTCGCTGTCGAGCGTCGAGCGCGGACCGTCGTCGCCGTCGTCGTCGCCACGGTCGCCGAAGTCGTCGCTGTCGTCGTCGTCGTCGTCGTCGTCCCCACCCTCCTCCACCCTCCGGTCCTCCTCCGCCTGCCCCTGCTGCTCCTGCTGCTCCTGCTCACGCCCTTGCTCCTGCTACCGACCCTCCTCCTCCACATCCCTCCTCCGCCAACTCCTCCTCCTTCTCCTCCTCCTCCTCCTCCGTTGCCGCCCACTGTTCTTTGAGGGCGACTGCGCACCAACTGCGCGGGCGGTGTGCGGGAGCATGCTAGCGCATTCGACCGTCCTCGCTTGCGCCGTCGCTCTCCCTAAACCCCCAACGTCGTGATCTTTTCACGCGGCTCTTACGCGGCTTTACGCAAGCATTGCGCAGGGTCGCAACTTCACGACGATCGTGCTGATCATCTTGTCGGTACAAGGGCAGAAACGTTTGGCGGCGCGCACAAGGGGGTAGAGGGAGGGGGGGAAGGCTTCTTGAAAGAGGCTGCTTCTTGAAACGCCCCGTCCTTACATCGGCAGACAACGCCCGCCCTTTCTGAGAAGCAGGGGTGCTTCTAAGAAGCCTTCCCCCGTCGTGCTGCTGCCAGGGGCGAGGTGCAGGTGACAAATCACCCGTCGTGATGTGTGCTGCTGCACGGCGTGGACAGGGATCCGAGAGGCCCCCCCGCCCCTTTTGGCGGCGGTCGGGGGGTCGCAGCTGGGTGAGCCTGGAGAGAACACGCGGCCGCGCCGTGCAGCGTTCCACGGAGGGCCTTGCCTTCGAGGGTCGAAGGAGTTATCACCTCTTCCTCGGCGGCTTGGCGGCGCGCAGAAAGGGGTGGAGGGAAGGGGGAGGGCGTCTTAGAAGGCGGCTGCTTCTTCGAGGGCGCCGGCCTTACATCTACAGATAAGGCCCGCGCCTTCTAAGAAGCAGGGGTGCTTCTGAGAAGCCCTCCCCCCTCCTCCCAACCCCCTCTGCGCGTGGCTGTAAGCCGTCGAAAGGGCAGCGGAAGGTGGCGGAAGTAGAGACTGCGCCCCCAAGAGATGATAAGAATTTTGGGCTCAGCGTTTCTGGGAGCTGCCATGTGTTCTGGATGCGCCCGAGAAGACCAAGCTGGCACCGCGGCAAACCTCACGGCAAAGCCTGCGTCCGAGGCGGGCTTTGCCGTGGTGGCCGAGGCGTCATCTCCAGGACGCGAGGCCGCGCGAGGTAACGGGCGGCGCGGCGACATGTGTCAAGAGAGCGGGGGTGGGGTGCCGATCCGCTCAAACCCCGTGCCCAAATCCCTCCCAGAGGGTCGACATTGGACAAGTTCCGCCAGCCGCGTCCAGCCGCGGAGGCGAGAGCGGGGACCCTTCTCCCCTCGGTATCCCTGCTGGGCGGGATCGGCCAATGCTGGGCCACCTCGGCTCTGAGCCGGAACCCGAGATGGGACGTTGCGAACAAAAAAACAGCATCGGAAACAATCGCGGCCAGGGTCCCGGACCAATTTTTCTCAAGACGAAGCCAGGACGAGAATCACATCGGGTGTGGATAGATCGATCATCTCTGAGATCCGGCGGCTCTGGAAACTGTCTCGGGCGCAGCGGCCTTCTCAGAGCTCTCCAGAACGCTCTGGAACGCTCTGAGAGTGTCCCGGGACGTTCTGGCACGGATTTATCCTCATCCTAGCCCCGCCCAGTTTCCGCTGCGTTCTTCGAACAGGATCGACACTTGTGACGGCCAGAGACTGAGAATACGCGGACATGCCTGACTCCGCCGCCACCGACGTTGCCGTTGCCACCGCCGCGCTCGCTGTTTGCTTCGACACGCCCCCTCGCTGGCGCCAGTTTTTGGTCGGGCCTGTCCTCCTACAGGCGGATTTTGGAGGAAGAGCAAAAAATCGCCGAAACAGAATCAGCAAAAGTCAAAAGAGCACGACAAATCGTCACCAGACTTGTTAACCAGTCTTGAATACTCCTTCTGTGAGGGACATGCTCGACGTAATGCCAGTGCAGCCCCCCTGTGCTCTGGCGGCGCTAACTCGCCTGCTTCGGCGGCAGAATGGACTGATCGAATGTGTGCATGGTGGCAGGCCGTTCTGTGATCAACGCCAGGAGCAAGCAGAGACCTGAGATGCTTGCGTCGTATTTGTTTTGAGTCCAGCGTTTTCGCTCTGATATGGTCCCCGAGACAATCACAGATCGAGCCAACTCAAAAATACAGCAGACTGATAAAGTCTGGTCCTCTGGTTGCGATGCGTCGAGATGTTGTAAGTTGTTCGCAACGTCCGATGGCAGGGAAAGCAAGGGCACGCCGTGACGCTGGACGAGGCTTGATACTCAAAGGTCTAGATTTACCACACCAGAATATATACACTAACGCCCCCCGAAAAACTCGGTATGTACCTTCAGGGAAGGCGGCGTTGTCCAAAATCG